CACTCACACACAAATACACACACACACACACACACACAGTACCAGTCAAAAGTTTGGACACACGTTTTCATTAAATTGAAGAAGGAAATGTGTCCATACTTTTGACTGTACACACAGGCACGTACACACACACACACACACACACACACACACACACAGGCACGCACACATATCCACAACCCCCCAGACACACACACACACAGAGTGCAGTAGATGAATGTTCGGAGGCAGGCAGGGGGAGAGGTTTTCCACATGGGAGATTCTGTACAATGGATCTGTGGTCACTCTTCATCACACACACACACACACACACACACACACACACACACACAATGCATAAAGAGACACACACAGTATATCAATGCAAAAAGAGTGTATAAACGCACACATGCACGCACACGCCCATGACAGTATGTGTGGGTCTGCCGGGTGATGAATGAAGCAATATTTCAGTCTAAAGCAGAATCCCACCATCTGTGATCGTATAGGAGAGAAATGCTTATATACACACACAGCACACACACACACACACACACACTACACACATAACACACACTACACACACTGCACACAAGGCTGTGAGAACTCCATCTGTCTTATTACACACACACACACACACACACACACACACACACACACACACACACACACTTGTATTCATTGTATGCACATTATTGAACATCTATAAGCTAACACACACACACACACACACACACACACACAGAAAACAAGGTCACACACATACAAATACACACAAACACACACAAACAGACAATCATTAAACTCTGCAGTATTGTGTTGTTTCATTGTGTTAGGCAAAAGCCCAGCGGGCAAGAATCAAAGTGCCAAGCAAGCATTAGCATCACACACACACACAGGCAGACACACACACTGTCACTGACACGCACAGGCACACACAATCACACTGATAAACACAGGCATACAAACCACGACACACAAGCATAGAGAATCCCACACACAGCCTTACATTTACACACTTACAGACAGTTACAGCTACACACTTTCAAGTTTGTCCCACATGCACACACACACATGCACGCACACACACGCACACACACGCACACACACAGCTTAGCAGTGTGTGTGATGCCAGGTTGCTTTGCCTCTGGTAGCAAAGGCCTCTGCTGTCCTAGTTGCTTTCCATCCAAACTTCTCACTAACACACACACACACACACACACACACACACACACACACACACCTACACAGACACCTACACACCCACGCACACTCGCCTACACACACGTGCACAGATTAGAACGTGCACGTTGAGATGTGCAGCAGCGGAAGCACCGACAGCTTTAAAACACGAGGGTGTTTCATCAATAATTCCTGCAAAAGCATCTCAAATTCATTTTTGATAAGACACACAGACACACACAGACACACACACGGAGCCGCGGAAGCAACAAAGTAACACAACAACCTCAACTCTTTGGTCTTTTTCACGTGTTTCATAAATATATATTCATATATTTCAATGACAGTAATCGTCAGCACTCGGATCCCTTTTTTATTCTGCAAAGTTTAAAATAATTCCTCGTCAGTGCGGAACGTTTAAATCGACCTTGTAGATCTAAAACAAGCACACGATCCCTCCATCACTCCTCTCTCCAGATGTTCTTATCAGTAATAGGAGATTTCAGATCAATAACAAGCGGGCTTAATAAGGGGGGGTCTGCGGGAGCTCGGTGCCACTGGGGGGGAAGGGGGGGGGATTTCGAGGTCGATCTCATTTCACCTCCCGGGACGTTCATGTCAATCTGACCCCGTTTGGTTGAAACGTGCCGGCGAGTGAAAACCCGATTCAGAGGCCAACGGGTCAGAAAGTCAATCCTCAGTTCCAGCGTCACATGGTGACATTTAGAAGAAGATATTCAGCTTTTATTTTCAGGAATCAGGAAACATTTAGTGCCAAAATATGTCAGACATACAAGGAATCTGTCTTGGCGGTTGGTGCGTGACATTAGACAACAAGACAGCAATGCACAAGTAATAAAATAAAGTAAAATGAAATGCTAATGCAAAGGGTTAGTAGAATAAGGCTATGGGTTAGTATAAAACAAGAGAATAAAGTTTTGAATTTAAAATATTAAAAAAGTTAAAAAATATTACGGTAAGCATAAAGTGCACTACGAACAAGTAACAAAGTGACGAGTGACGACAAGGTGAAAATTACAGTTAAAGTAATTACAGTTAAAGTGACATGTGCAGAATGAAGATGTAGTTTGACTGTGAAACATCCACTGAGCTTTTATCACGAAAAGAAACACACAGTTTTACTCCTGAGAGCAGCGGCTGATGGTGTGAATATCATATATCACATTTATATATAATATATGGTATGAATATTTCATGCCCGGGGGGCCTGCAGAGGAAACAGAAACAAAAGGCTTAGGTAGCCGTTAGCCGTGAGGAGGTAATCCACATGCTCTCAATTTGAGATTTGAGATTCCTAAATGTACTCCCTTCTGCCTCTGCAGGGTTCTTGACATTCAGGCAACCGTGTGTTTCCCGAAGTTAATAAAGTCGTATTTATTTCTACAATAATAATAATAAAAAGTGAGGCCTGGTCACATAAATATTAAGAACATTTTAAAAGAAAGCGTGAGAGAAGCGTCCTGATTTGAACACTATGCAAAGAAAATTAAGTGTGTTTTGAAACAAATTTTCAAATGACTCGCCCCTCACTGCCAATAACCCCCCCACATACACACAAAACCACACACACACACACACACACACACACACACAGTGCACCATAAAGCGCTTTCTAATATTTCTTGGATCTCCCATCTGTGATTCAGGTCTCGTCTAGTGATGCCTTGCGGCTGAATGTTGCAGGAAGTGATGCTGAAAAAGAGTTGTGTTTCTCCCTCTGGCCTGGTCCTCCTCTCATCTGTTACACACACACACACACACACACACACACACACACACACACACACACACACACACACACACCTCATGAGGACAGTGCATTGAGTGTAACCACCATTTGTAGCCGGTTGTCAGGTGATAAAAAACATGCGCACACACATACAAGGACAAACACTGAATTGAAGTCCATGAAATTGGAATAGAATATCCATGAATAATAATCCCACAAGTACAGGACATGTAAGAATAGACACACACACACACACACACAGACACAGTAGCCACAGGGCTACACGTGCAGCAGAGGATCTACGGAGGACGCGCTGGAGAACATTCATCTGTTAATGAAATGTGCACGTGACATCTGCTGAGTGCACAAGCCTTTGTGTGGTTCTCCTAATACACTTTAAACCACTAAACGACTTGACGTGACCTCTTTTCTGTATCAGCAACCATCAAAACTAAACCCCGTTAACATCATTGTTTAGAGAAACGTACCTGAAACACATTTGCTGGAGGAAATAGAATCTAATAATGCATCTGCCCTTCTGTCTTTTTGCAGTTTGTGGTCAAGATCAGTTCACGGTCCAGCTGATGAGCTCCCGAGCGCTCGCTGCTAGCGTAGCACGTTAGCGTGCACGCCGTAAGCATGTGCACATGCTATGCCGGGCTCGGGCTGAGAGCACTGCGGTGGGGGTCCGCAGTCTGAGCATCAACCAAACAGTAGAGAGATGGAGGTGCTGTCAATCAGTCAATCAATTCTGTCTGAGGATGAAACACCTGCAGGCGACCTGGAGAGCGTCCTGAGCTCTCAGGTCACATCCGGGGTTTATTCACGGGGTTTATGTGTCCTTCAAGTGTTTAAATCCTGTTCTATTGTGGCCGTGGTGCACATGCACACTCACGCACACACACGCACACACTCACGTGCAGGCGGCAGGTGGATGACCTTCTTCTTCTTCAGTAAAACAGCGGCCGTTGTGAAATACAGCTAGTCGGCCGTCTCTTCGGTCCATAGAAACTGCTTGTTATCTGCTTGCTAACTCATGCTAAGCTAGCTGCTAACTGATGCTAAGCTAGCCTGAGGGTTGTGCTCGTTGGCGTGTCAGCGGGCGTTGAACCCTTCACCCTCTGGGAGGGTCTACAACATCATGAGAGCCTCCGCCAGAGAGGTCGTGTGATGAGATCTGACGGCAAGAGGAAGTGTGTAAGAGTGTGTGAGTGTGTGTGTGTGTGTGTGTGTGTGATTGTGCCACTGTGGCGATGAGATCAGATCTGCAGGTCTACTAGTCGTCGTTTTACAGCTGGTGATTGGAGGGGGTGCGTCCTGTTTTGGAGGGTTTCCCAGATGCTCATTCACTCTCTCTCACACACACACACACACACACACACACACACACACACACACACACACACACACACACACAGTGACAGTGAGAACAGAATATAAAACCGCTCTAATATACGACATGCCTCATCACGTCCCTAAATACTCACACACTGAACTGTTGACTCGCACACACACGCACACACACACTTCAGCAGAAGCAGATGAATAAACAAAGACAAACACAATGACAGACCCCTGAGAGTCCACCAAGGCAGCAGACACACACACACACACACACACACACACACACACTGTGCCATTACAAAAGACGACCATGTTCCCAAAAATCAATATTTATCCGTCGTTTCAGGGAGCCGCACAATGAGCGTCATACAACACGACACGTGTCGACAACACAATGTGCAGCTTCTCCAGCCTGAAATCCAAAGTTCCATTTGGAGGCTGAAGGAATGTTGATTATTGTGTGTCTGAGCGCGGTGACGTCGCCCGTCAGACGCGAGGAGAGAAAACACAAATACACGGTTACTTTCTATATTACAACCCTGTGGATTTATCAGTTATCCCACAACAAGACACTGAACGATTGGCATATTTTCTTTAGAAAAGACATCAAATCAACTGGGGAAGAGAACAAAACGTGTATATGAATATAAATAATAATAACACTATGTAATGTCCTTTCAGGGCATTGATGAAAAAGGGTGTTTAAACATTAAAATTGCATTATTTATTATTCATGCGGACCAACCTGGGGCGTGAAAATGATTTGTTGAAGCCAAAAATAGGTGTATTTCTTGTTGATATCGGTGATGAATCTATGTGAATCTATGAGCGCCTTCAGCCCCCCGGCGGCCTGCTTTCATTATTATCATGACTCTAAAAAGATGTGCTCAGCGCGCCACGTGCTAATAAAGCGCCCGCTGACCCTGAGGGTCACGTGTGACGCGTTTGGACCTCACGCCTCGGCATCTTCGTCTTCAACCACAGGTTCTCATCGACGCTCTGAAAAGTCCTCCGGAGAACCTTTTAAAGGAAGGAGGTCGACCCTCCTCTGAGCGGGAGACTGAGGCGCGTTGTGCGGCGCGGATCCTCCGTTACCGCGACGACCCGCAAAAGCCCCAACGAAGCGTCGCGCTAAAAAGAGCGCGAGCAGCCGTTGAGTCGGCAGTCAGAGAGTCAGTTCATTAGCCGGGAGTCTCTCGACCTGCTGTTGCAGGCGGCCCGGTTGTTCTGCTGTTAGGGAGCGTGCTCGTTAGTCATGACACACACAGACACACACACACACTCAGGAGGAAGAAGAAGAAGCTGCGTTCCCCGTGGACCTATTAGTGTATCTCATTGTCATCTATCCGGGCTTAAGTTCTCTATTGTTTGTGACACACCAGACACACTAACGCAAACACACACACACACACTAACGCACACACACAGATGCTACAAGGATGCAGCCTCCCCCTCGACACACACACACACACACCCGTCAGTGGCCCCAAGGAGCGATATCGGTGTTGAGCCGCTGCAGAGGCACACATCCTAATTAAAACACACTACCTTCTCGACAGGTGCCACACACACGCAGCTACACACACATGCCAACGCACACTACAATGAGAGGGAGGGAGCAGGAGAAGGTGAAGGGAGCTGCTAACATGGCGGCGTGTGTCCGTGTGAGAGGTAAACCAGAGGAGACAGCAGTCGGTAGCTGAGGGCCACGCCAGCTGGTGGAAGTGCCTGTTTGCTTAAATCACAACGTGTTGACGCGTGTGTGTTTGTGTGTGTGTGTGTGTGTGTGTGTGTGTCAGCAGATGGTGCGTGGCGACTGTATTGCTCCCAGCAGCACAGCTGTCCGAGGCAATGCAGCCCGGACACCTCTTCATCGAGGTAAAAGACAGCCAGACACGCAGGCGCACAAAACAAACGCACCCCAGCCTTGAGCCAACCTCATTTGTTTGGAGGTTTCGCCCGTAGCGCGGCAGGAGAGAACGGGACCCCCCGGGGCCACAGAGGCTCCGCCCCCTCGCCCCCTGCTAAAACGTGTGCAACACACAGACACACACACACACACACACACACACACCCACGCCGCGGTGCAGCGAGCTCATCTGAAGAAGTGAGAGGCGTTCAGTGTTACTGTAACACTGTTAAGTAGGATTATTTACTCGCTCAATAACATTAAACACCGACACGTGAAAAATAAATACATCACGAGATATTAAGTCAGCGCGCTGCCACAGAGGAGCAGGAGGAGGAGAAAGAGGAGGAGCAGGAGGAGGAGAAAGAGGAGGAGCAGGAGGAGGAGAAAGAGGAGGAGCAGGAGGAGGAGCCAGCTGGACAACAATATTCGCTTAGTTTATTTGCTGCTCTCCTTTGACCACAGCTGGTGTGACGGACTGATTCTGATAGTTAATTTCCCCGTTACGCAGGTGCTGTGCCTCCACCCGGCCTCCACCCAGCCTCCATCCAGCCTCCACCGTTTGAGAAACGTTCTCACTTCTTCAGCTGTAAACTACGACGCCCTCCGGACCCGTTCGGTAAGGAGAAAGGAGACATCGCTCTGATGCTCCTCCCGGCCCCAAAATGTGACTTCCATTCACACATGAAGGGAGTCAAAAGTAATCTAGTTTTATCTGCCCCCCCCCCCCCCGTCTCTTCCCGATGACACCGCCGTCTCCTCACCTCCTCTCCTCTCACCTCCTCCTCCTCTCCTTTAATCTCCTCTCAACTCTTCACCTCTCTCCTCCACTTTCATCTCCCTGCCCTTTTCCTCCTCTTCTCTCCTCCTCTTTCCTCTTCTCTCCCATCTTCTCCTCTCGAGGGTTTGTTAATGAGGTAGATATATATATCTATATATATATAGATATATATATAGAGAGAGAGAGAGAGAGAGAGAGAGTCAGACAGGATGGGAAGCAGAGATAATATAGAATAAAAACCAGAGCAGGAGTGAAAAATAAGAGGATGAGACAGCGGGGGTGAGGGAGGAAGGAAATAAGTGAGGCAGAAAGAGAGAAGGTGGCCGTTGGGTTTTTATAATTGGCTGTCTGTGAATCAGAGAGGGCGACTACATCCTTCTGCCTCCACACACACAGACACACTCGCACACACGCACACAGACACACACTCACACAGTCTCAGAGAGATCACATTTCCTCCCCTAACAGGACATGGAACCAGCTTCTGAAGCCTGTAAATGATCTGCCGTCTCCTCGGCTCGCCGCGGGCTAAAGATCACACTGCCGCTTCGCTCTGATCCGCCTAATTAGCGTCGCTAACGACTCCGCCGTGCGCCGTCCGCGCGCCAACCTGCGCCGTACATTGTGAGGGGCTTATTGCTGGAGAACCACGGGGGTCCGTGTGCGGCCCACTTAGCATGTCAGCTCCCCCTCGGGTACATCGGGAGGAGTTTAGCGCTCGTTTTTACAATTACCTAATTACCAAATAAAATCATCTTTAATGAGGATTTATTATGAAAATATATACATTTCTAAAATATATATATATTCATAACGCTAGCTGCTTTCACTTTCTTTATCGTGCATTTCGTCTCTGCATTGGAAAAATAATTGACTCTTTTGCTATGCCCCCTCGCACCCCCACCCTGCTGCAACTCCACCCAGCTGTCGCAGCTGTGTTACCATGGAGACCACACCATCAAACTGCACTTCCTAAATTATTATTTTTTTGTAGCCGTTAATAAGATGTAAGCAGTGAGATCAATAAGCGCTCTGGATACCTACAGTGGCTAGCGTAGCTAAGCTTAGCTAACGCTAACGCTAATCGCAGACATACTCTGCTAGCTTTGCACGTCTTTAAGAGTACAAACGTTTATTTACGTTTCTTGTCAAAAGCAAAATTCCATTTGAACGCATCATGACAGTTGGTCCAAAAAACACATTCTTACTAAATTATGAAACTCATCAACGTCACAGATGTCGATAAGAGAGTTTTCTTTAACGCAATGAAAACAATATTGGCAAATAATAATGGAATTAGAGTGCAGCTAATAATGTAAAAGTCCCGTATACTGTAAATCCAATATGGACGTAGAAGCACAACTCGCAGAGACGGAGAATAACATTAAGTCTTACGTAGCCCTTTAACTGGAATGAATCCACTTTAAATCCCACTCATTAAATATAAACATGTGTAATTTACAACGTTAAATTACTTTTCTTACATTGTAGAGAAACTACTCTAAGGAGGCACTTTAATAAAACATCCCACAGGTCGGACTCGCTCGGCTACGTAGCTCCTTTTTTAATATTCCGCAGGTTCTTATGAAGCTGGCTCCTCTTGTGATGGAAGGGAACATCTGCATGGCCTAATTCAAGGGGACACGCTGTGTTTGGGGTGTTTGGGTCACTGGTTCTGATCCCGTCACACAAAACTCTCCCCTTCCTTCCTCGTCCACGTTTTGTTTGTTTCTTCCGAGTGAATTAAAGGGTTGCACGAAAAACGATGAAATCGATAAAACGGAGGGAAACTAAAGCAAAAAAACCAACAACTTTCAGCCTCCCAGGCAGTGAGAGCGAGGAGGACTCTGTTAGTCTTTCCGGGTGGAGCGGGTGGAGCGGGTGGAGCCCTGAGGTCAGACAGAAAGGCAGAGATGCCGTTGGGTCATCTGGCCGAGCTGGTGTCTGTGGGTGGAGCGCATACTGCGGTGGATGCGAGCTATAATAAACCCGGCCGACACCACCAGCCTGCTTCCTCCGGAGAAACCAAACTCTTCCTGTTTGTGTAGAAACGGTTTATTTTGAGAAACTTTTGAGAAAGAGTTTGATGGTACTTTTAGCGTAAAACAGGCCGTAAAGCAGGGGGAGGATTTGGGGCGGGTCTTACTGTGATTGACAGGTCACCGCATTCCAATATATGGTCAACGTGGCAACGTCCAAAATCACAAAATGGGAAGGCAGGAATTCAAACTGACCCTCCCGTGACTGAGGGGTGCGTTCCATTCACGGCCTGTATTTCAGCCCAGCGACTGCCCGCCGAGACGTAATGAGTCAGCGGGCCGCGAAGCCTCCAGAACACGATCATTAATAATTTACGCTGCTGAAGAATCCGGAGCCAGAGGAGGGAGAAGAAAAACTCACCGGACGCCAAGACAATGATTCACGCAGAGGACGGTGGACGTACGGTGCGGTCGGGCATTCCTGGTGCTGTTTTTAATCAAACCCATTTGACTGCTGTTATTAAATCACTTAGAGGCTTTAAGCAGGAGGAGATCCTCTTCTTCCCACATGGAGAAGAAACCCCGTGGGCTTCCGTTCTAACGGCTCGACACTGAAGCGCCATCTCTACCTGGCAAGTCAGTGAAATATGGGTCCTCCCCTTTTCACCTCCTCCACTCTGCTCGGTGAATTGTGTCTTTGGTTGAAATTGTTGACGAGCAACGCGCGTTCGGCCTGTTGCCTGAAACTGAACTGTGTCGACAGCGATCTCTGGAATCGATCCCCTCGCCGCAATAAAGCAGACTTTTATTCCCTCCACATCTACGTCGTGTTCCACCCTGCAGGGCTCAACATGCCGCCCCCCCGCCCGCCCCCCACCCCTCCGCCAGCATGCAGCACCATAATACCTTCCTGCCCCGAGGCCGAGGCATCGATCGTGGAGAGCAGAGCGCAGAGTTTCGATTTACACATTCAGAGGTTTGTCGGCGGCCGACCTCGTTAGCAGGAAAAACGCTCATAATTTACGGCACGAACGGCTCGACGGAAACAAAGCGCTGAAAGACTCGGTGAGGAGGCGAGGAAGAGGAGGCGTTGGGCTCGGGTGAACATCCACCAGCTCGTC